GAACTACACGTACTTATAATTATAGTTCTACCACGTCTATACGTACAGAACGAACTACACTCACTAGATATATAGTACGAACAAAAGAAGACTGTACTATATATATAGTATATATAATATATATATATATATATATATATATATATATATATATATTATAATACAGTTCACGTGTCCTTCATAATGACCAGTGGACAGTAGATAACCGCGCCTGGTGATATATGACCAGCTCATCTCTGACCAATCCAGGCGAGCGATGGTGGCGCCAAGTGGTTGACTCGCTTGACAAGACCCGATCTTTGCAATGCAAACGACGGAAGCGCGCGCGCGAGGCAAACTGCGTAAGCCTCCCTAATTAGGTAATTAGGTAAGCCTCCCTAATTGCTACTGGCGAATCTATGCATCCCCGCGTCCGCTCCCCGACAAACTAAAAACTATCAGGCCATTGTGAGTTTTCCTGTTCGGTGATCATAGTATATGCCTCTCTTAGATCGGTCCAGTGTGACTCGCCGGCCGCTGGCGTGACGTTCCCTTCGCAAAATTACATCGCGTACGACGCGCACATCCGCTTTTTTGTCCCGGACAAAAAGTCAAATCGTCGGCGTTTTACGTTTTGTTTAAAACATCGCGACAAAATCTTCGTACCGGACAATGAGAGTTCGGTGGCGACACCGCAGTTGCTGTCGGTAGAGTCGATGCTCATTCAGAATTTTACTCGGGGTGTCACCTAAAAGAAGTCATGTTGTCGTCTGACGACATATGTGACCCGTTTTAGCCAAATGAGTCGGAAGTCGCGCAAATATATTTTACGCGATGTGTGGTTTTAACTATATATAGGCATGGCATTTTTGTTTTCGTGATTTTCACTGAAATAGATAACTTAGCAAGTTTTCTATCGGAATATCTGGGTGAAATATACATATAATATCTTTAAACGATATAATTTAGCTATTTTGTATGGAATAATTATTGCTGCATGATGTTGGTGACCCACGTCAGGTGGAATCGTTAGTAACCAGAGGTCAGTCACGGGGGGTAGCTGAGAGCATGTGTCAACCCACAGACACTTGGGACAGAGTCAGTAAAAACTGGAAATAATATGAACGCACATTCACAAATACTACCTCTCAATTACACTTCCACTGCTGTGTCACAGTTTTTACTGACTCTGTCCCAATTGCCTGTGTGTCAACCCACGCGCGTGGCTCCCTGCCTACCTTCCCACTTCCCCTGACCCGTTCCCCACTCCCACTCTCACCCTCATATTCCCTCCCTCCGCCCTAGAGACGAGGATATGACGGGATGGGTGACAGGGTGGACTCCCCTACTCCCGACACCCCCCCAGTATCGAACCACGCCCCCTGTAGCTCACCCCCTCCCCCCGAGCCTTCCCCTATCCACCCTCCGCCCCACCCCCACAGTACCTGCCCCTCGATAACACCCGAGGTGAATTAATGCACCGGTAATAGTATACATACGGAACGATACTGATTGCACAAATTTTGGTTTCCATGGAAACTGCATCTCCGTAAGCAGTGAGGGGCGGGGCGGTTGATGCATATTGGATTGATCGGGCAACGACGCAACGTGCCGTAACAGCTAGCTACCCTATATATACGTGTACACACGCGATAGTGAGCACAGACGCTGCGCGCGCGCTCTCTCTCTCTCTCTCTCTCTCTCTCTCTCTCTCTCTCTCTCTCTCTCTCTCTCTCTCTCTCT